TGTAGCTGGTAGGTTCAGCCGTAAGCATCTGCTGGTGTTAGTCAAGCTGTTAGCCTTGAGCTTGATGCCTCTGTCAGTTGTAGATTATCGTTTCTCAGCACCCCAAAGCCTGGCTGACAATGTGTACATGCTAAACACAGAAACTGGTGCCTTCACTTTCCAAACCCTCTCACATCCTTTGTGTTTTTGAATACATGTAATAGCCATTGCTGAGGTCCGAGATACAGTTCATTCAGAAAGACACCAGACTGCTGCCAATTATCGGTCAAAAAAGATGTTAATAAGGCAGTGTAAATAACCTCTAAATAAAAGCATTATCATGGTCACAGAGTAAACTGCTTCAAATATCTTGCCTGAGGCTCCAGGCCTGTGTGATGATATCCCACCGTACTCGGTAAAGACTTGTGGATTGAACCGCTGCAAAACTAACAGGGCTCATTTAAAGTACAGAAACATATTCAAACACTCTTCTTCTTTGCGAGGGTCCAGCACCAAGTAAGCCTGTAGTAAATTGAGTAAAGCCTTAAACTTAATTGACTACAGTGAAGAGGAGTTAAAAGCCTGCATGTTACATCTAGTGCTGTTCTTAATTTAAGCATGATATCATTCTGAGCATTAACTTTTTATTCATATTTGCATTCCTAGTGTGGAGCCACAAACCAGGCCTCCTACAAGGATAAAAGCTCTATTATTGCAAGGGAATTGTAACATTATGCCAGAGCTGTCGGGAAGAGATTTAGAGCCTGTGCAACTGTATATCCTGACATTGTGTATGTTTACTGCTGGGAGTATTACCAATGGCTGATATTTGCCACTTTCCCTCCCACACACTCTGATATTGGTTTAGACAGTTATTCATCGCCTCTAAATCTTTATTTCAGAGAAGAGACGCCTCTGCACACATGTGTTGAGAAACACAAGTGAAACAGCAAACAGGGCCTGTGAAAATCATCACTTATATCTGGGCTTCAGTGTGAAACTCGGTTTGAAGAATGTGGCCTTATAAGAACCTAGCTGCTGAAGGTTGTTTGAGGTGTAAGTTAGAATGTGTATTCAGTGCAGTATGTGATTTTTCTAAGCACATTTAAGCTTTAATTGCATGTTACCCATAAATACCACCAACACATTTATTGTGCTTGTCTATTTACCCCCTTTAAGCTGCACTAACCAATATTTTTATTGTAACAATGAGTCTATGACTGTGTGTAATGTAAGAGGGGTTGTTTGTAGTGATGAACCCAGTGTGAATCATCACCTGACTCTGCAGGCGATGATTGAGAGCAGTTGCTCTCAATGAAACAAGTCCAAATGACTACTAATGCTTTACTAATATCTACTGGATATGTTTGTGTAAATGGGCTTCTGTTTGCTAAACTTCACCATATTAACTTAATGGAAAAAAAAGAAAATATCAATTTTGTGTTTATAGCTTGTTTCCACCACCGCCAAGTGGCCCGAAACCATTTAATACTGCTTTCACATCACTCACATGCCAAACTATGGCATTTCTGAGTAGCCTAAGGAGATGTTGTAGCTATGCCTTAAGACTTGAAGTAAAGGAAGTGAAAGACAGTCTTGGGTTTAAGAGGTTAAATGAAAGGCAATTGTAAGCCCCTTCTTTCTATTTTTAAGGTCCCCAAAATCACACGACCCTAGAAGTTCATTGCTATGTCTCCACGCCGGCAAAAGTCATCATGTTTTCAGGTTGTCCGTCCATCTGTCTTTCCCATTCTCGTGAACACGATGTCCAAGTAACACTTTGAAGGGATTTCTTGTAATTTGGCACAAACATTCAGTTTGGACTCAAGGATGAACTGATCAGAATTTGGTCGTCAAAGGTCAAGAATCAAGGTCACCGTGACCTCACAACACAATTTTTTGACCATAACTCATGAATTCATACACTAATTATGTCTAATAGGATAAAATGATGTGAAGTGATGATATTTAATATCCAAATGGTCTAAGGTAAACTTCACTGTGACATCATAATGTTCTTTAAAAACACTTCTCCATTATTCAACGCTGTAACTCAGGAAGGGCAGATTGTGGCCCTATTTCCTGCAACTGGGCTGTTTGGCGGAGGAATACAACCGCAAGGCATTAATTCTATTTTTTTGACTAAATTTAGGAGCCAACACACTCGTGTTGTCTGTTACAATTAACATTAAGCCCCACAGTTTACAGTTCACAGTTCACTTGGTGGCTACTAACCATAAAGCTCAGCACTGCAAGTCAGCACTTGGCCGAGACCCCAATGTTTACATCTCTGCCTTAGTTTATTTTCTGTATTTAAACATTAAAGCTGCTAAGGGAAGAAAAGTGCTGCCATCATTGATCTATAGGTCGCTGGGGGTAAGCTTGTACGTCAATAAGAAAGACTCTCAAATCTTACCTCTCAGTATGTCTGTGTCTAACTCTGACTGTCTTGTTGTGTTTCCTGGGAGTAGAAAAAATCTCTAGTGACAAGCGCCTTTGGCAAAACTGTGTGGGATCAGTTTGTTAGAAAAACTCTGCAGTATGATGAGTTTAACCCAGCTGCATCTTGTGGGAAAATACCATCAGGATTTACTTTAAGATGATGTTGTTTTCAGTGATTGCGAGTTGACTGGGAGTGGACTCCACTGTCCTGACACATATAACTATTTCCAGATGAAGGTGGGTTTTAGCGACATTTTAAAAATCCTGTTAAAGTTCCACTGAAAACAGGGCGATTTCCCTCAACAGATGGCACAAGCCACCCACAGAGTGAAGGTGAAAAAAGCATTGATTCGAAGAAACTAGACCAAGACTCCAAAGCTGCATCCTCATTCATCAGCAACGCTGAGATTTGTGTCTCTGCTCTCACCAAGCCGTGGTTTCACTCATGTGTCCTGACACCAGCGACACCTCATTTTGATGAGTTCATGGTTAAGGTCACATTTGTCAGAGACAGCCTGGAGGGCAGATGTGACAATCTGGGGGATTATTCAGGGACAGATTAAGATGTTAGTGTTTTGTGCTGCATGCTACTGCAAGGCTGAAAAGTTTGTCCTGACAGTTTAGTGATTTTAATGGTGCAACTGTCCAAATCACTACATATCAAGTAGTCCCTTAACTCTCTAATGCGTTCTGCGCTGGAGCCATAAAACCTCTTGGCTCTTCCCAAATCAGAAGAAGGAAAACCCTGTGCGTTTTTAAATCCACAGTCATATGATATTAAATTGACAATTCAGATTTTGCATCAGTAAATTACTCTGCTTATTCTACTCTCCTGGATGAATATGCTTTGATTCAGACATTTTCCCATCCAAATGGCCACAGATAACCTCTCACCATGTCAGCGTCTGTTTTATGAGAGGAACATTTTTCCCTTTTTCAGGCAAATGCTGCCTAGCTGCTATGACTGTGTTGTTTTATATTCATTGGTAGTCATGTCACCAACAGCTCGCCTTGACTGCATTTTTATTTGTTTTCCATGGTGGACTTATTGTAGCTAGTTAAAATGTCCTCCAGTGGGTTTTTACCATGCATTATGGATCCCTTTATCACTGGACTCTTAGCATTTTGAGCTGTTTTATATTCACTGATCTGTAACGCGAGACCATGAAATGCAGCAGTGCTTCCCTGAATGTTATTGTGTTGTGTTTGGTGATTTTTATCCTGGTTTTATTCAGCCCCATGCTGTCCTGCAGCATTAATTCCACGCTGACCACAGAAGCATTGGGCACTTTTGTTTTATTTTTCTCAGTACTCTTAGTTTGCTGTTCTTTTCTCTCATCACTTATTTCCTGTGTGGAAGGAGGCACTTCATGTTTGTTTTGGCCCAGGTGGTGTTTTGTCCCAGAACGGAGTGAGCTGCTACGGGTGGGAGACAGCCAGACTCTCAGTTCACCCCAACTGCCTCAGTCCACCCGGGGCCACCTCTTTTCATCTCTCCTTTCTCCCTCTTTTCCCTTTCCTTTACCTTTCTCCGCCTCCTTATCTTCTCCCTGCTGTCTGTCTGCCTGTCCGTCCGTCCATCTGTCTGTCTGTCTGTCTGTCTGTCTGTCTGTCGGGCAGCTTCACTTGTTTTTTATCGTTTATCAGACACTTTGCTGTAAATTTTCCTTTTTCCACTTTCCTGTTCTAGTGAATGGGACAATGGTCTCTGACTTCTGGACTCACTGGCTCAACAGCCACACATTGGTTTGCGTTGCTGAGGTATTTGCCATATTTAACAAGCTTTTTATGGGTGTGAGGAACCAGTGTGTGCAATAGCTCTGAGGGAAATATGTTTTTGTCACAAGACAGAGCAAGAGAAATACGTCAACTGCAATCAGGGGATCCACACGGAAACCAAGTGACAGCTGCAAACTGACTAGACACCCTGGAAATTGGCTGCTGTCCAATCACAGAAAGGCTTTGTGTTGTTATGTCTTTCCCCTCCACGATGCCCACTCTGCTGTTTCCTCAGTGGGGATTGTGGTCTGTTTGGGACTGACCGTGACCCTGCAATAGCAAAGGCCAGTGTGTTTGAGTGCATGGTAGCCTACTGGGACCAGTTTTGGCTGCTCCACCACCTGTTTGCACAGCGAGTTACTTTTACTGCTGGTTTGAGTGAATTTATGGACTACTGATGTTAACTGTTCTATTTTTACTGTGCCCAGGTTTCCTGTAATGTATTACCGCCAAAGTGACACAGAAACCTCGCGCTCCAGAGATTTAAGAAGGAAATTCAGACAGTCACACTAAAATGGTGCCTTCTGGAAAGTAACAGTATCCCTACTAATTAGTTATTCTCTTGTAGTGAATAATGTGAGCTCATAGAGTTAATTTAACAGGTTCAACTTGGCTTTGTTATGTAAATATAATCTCATATACCTCTTTTTATTTGTCTTGTATATGCGCACATCGAATAAACCTTAAACAACTATTTTACTGAACACTTGAAATGCACATTTTGATACTTAAGCTACTGCTGTTTCACTCTGTAATACTTGTCACTCCTCATCTAAACCCTTTTCTCCTCTGTGTCGCAGAGTCTAGGCTGCGATGAGTATCTCGGATCAGGAAAAGTGATGGACAAGTGCGGCGTGTGTGGAGGTGACAACACAACCTGCAGGCTGGTCTCTGGAGTCTTCAAACACAGTTTGACCAAGATTGGCTATCACAAGATATTAGAGATCCCAGAGGGAGCCACCAAGATCAACATCACAGAGATGGTGAAGAGCCGCAACTACCTAGGTGGGGAAGAAAAAACGCTTGTCACACTGATTCTGCGCACCAGTTTCACAACATAGAAACTTTGACGAAGTAGAACAGCGGTCTTCAGTCTCCTAGTTTTTATTCCAGCAACTGTTTTACATCTGGGTGAATATTACTACAGTAATCTGCTAATCTAATCGCATATTATTTGCATGACCTACAAGCTGTACTACAGGCTGTCAGCTCACGTCTGCTGCTACATTCACACAGCATACTCTTCTCACTGCAACAGTAATATACTGCAACAATACACCTGTTTCACTATGTGGGTGTACTTAAGACGTCAGCGCTCTGCTCACTCGTGCCTGCTGCCACATCACTCACCGGAAAGCTGTGTTACTCCTTCTGCTGCTGCTGTACATATAGCATTTCAAAAGCTCCACCTTCAGCTCAGCATCCACCTGCAGACTCTGAGTCTAGTCAGTCATCATCGTCGCTTCCCACTCCCTGTCTTGCTGAGCTTTTGTTTTCTTCTGGGGGGGGGGGGGGGGGGGGGGGTGGTTGATGAGGACAGATTGTAGACGCCAAGTGTCAGTGCTTTACATATTCTGCATTCATGTAATGATCCATTGCATGTGAGTTGGCTGAGTGAACTACATGTGGGGAAAGAATCAAACAAAGATAGTTTCTTAGCAGCTTGTCAGTGTATTAAAATCATGCTATAATAATAATAATAATGTTTTTGGCATCCACTATTTTGCATAAAACAGGCTTTTATCTGTTAGTAATGGTTGAAGATGGAAGGAGGGGAAATTGCATGTTGTTGAGAGTTCAATAACAGGGTATAGTCCAGGAGGCTGAATGCCAGAAATGTGTGTATATGGAGAGGTTGTAATCAGGGAGCCACTGGTATTAACTGGTATCTGATTTCTGTTTTTCTGCTCAGACCTGATCAGTCTTGGCTAATTTTATATTTGAACATATTTTTGAAGATTAGGCCTCGCTGTGTTGGCTGTACTTGAGTGTTGTCACAGCCAGGTTTACAGTTTCATCAGTTGCAGTCTTCATTCCAGTTCAAAACACATGTAGAAGGAATGAAAATCCATCATCCATCTACTTCATGTCATATTGTATTACAGATTAAATGTATGACACCAATGGAAAAAAAGAGAATTATTAAATGACAAGTGTAAGAAATGTTTTTCATTTGATGTGCTGGCATTTGGCGGTTGTACTAGTTCCAGCTGTGCCTGCAGCAACAGACAGCATCTGCTTGTAAAATTAATTGGATTTGTCTGATTAAAAGGGAAATTAACAAAGGGCGTCGTCACGTTTTCAGGATTTCTCCATGCAGCGTGTCGCCTTTATTACCACCCACCACTGTGGTGCTGCCTTTCAATGGAGCCTCTGAGTGAAACGCACTACACAGATAATTGGTGTCTTTCTAGAGGTGCAACAGTGGGACACAGTAGTGGGTTATTTTCAGAAGTGACTGTTGGAATGTCAGACATTGTTTAATGAGAGCCATGCCCCAGCTAAACCGTAGACTTGGAGGAAGAAGGGAATGGCCCTGATTTTCCCCCCACGGCCACTTCCCTCGAGGAAAGTGCATAAACATGCTTTCATTAGAGGATCTTACCCCTCAAGCCTCCCCATCCCTTTTAATTAAGGTGTGGAATTTTACCACTCTGTAAAAAATAACAAACACTAAGAACACTCTGTGGATGGATTCAGTGGTTACCTCTCAAATCCCAGCTACTCGGATGACAAGTACGCTCTGCTTTCTTTCTTTACATTTATATGCACCCTCCTCAACATCCACTCACTTTGTCTCACACATTTACACATGCACACAAAGGTACCATTCACTGTCATAATGTAAGGCTGTGAAACACTGTAACATCATTGGAGGATAAAATAAACATTTCTATTTTTGGATTGACAATCAGGGCACAAAATTCCAGGTGGCAACATTTGCAATGCAAACAAGATTACAGCATGAGATAAGGGCACGACTCTAACAGGAGCCACCTACTGTATCCTCACCAAGTCCACGATTTTTCCTCAATAGGCCTCTGTTCTACACTGTGCATCTCTAATGGTGCTTTTAGTTGTTCAAACACTCTTTTACAAGCCTGTCTAATGTTACACTTCTAATGCTTTTCTAATGGCCTCTTGTACTTAATCCATGGAATCAGTGGAAAACATTTTGGGAGATTTTGTTTCAGGATTTGCATGAAAGATTTGCCAACACAAACAGATCGTCACGTTCATAAAAGACATTGCTTTGAAAGTGCACATGAGAGCATTTATTCAGTTAGCTGTAATTACCTTTTTGGGTGGAGAAATCACTGTCAGACTTGTGTTTTTTTTTTGACTACAGTTCTCATTACGTCTAAATGGTTTTACATTAAACAATGATTATGTGGAAGACGCTGTGGCAGTATTTTCCTTTTCGTTTGAGCTCAGGGCTGTCAGTGGTGATTGTGTGGTTGTTCTCTCTCTCTTTCTTCCAGCTCTCCGAAGCCGATCGGGGCGATCCATCATTAATGGAAACTGGGCTATTGACCGACCAGGGAAGTACGAAGGAGGGGGGACCATGTTCACCTACCGCCGACCTAATGAAATCACTAGTAGAGCAGGGGAGTCTTTTCTCGCTGAAGGGCCCACCAATGAGATCCTGGACGTTTATGTGAGTAGCGTCAAGATCCTTATTGTAGTGACTCTCCTCTTTCATTCATACTAAATATAAAAAGTAGGTTTAGCCAAAAAAAAAAGAAAAAAGACTTTCACAGCAGATAGCACATTTGCGATGGGTGAATATTTGAAGGTAAAGAGTATTATCTCATCTACTTTCCCTCAGATGATCTTCCAGCAGCCGAACCCTGGTGTGCATTATGAATACATTCTCCCCTCTGAAAAACCAGTTGACCCTCAGCAACCAAACTACAGACCAGAAGGTAAATGAGACCCATTCTCTCTAACCCCCTTTTTATTACCGTCGCATCATCTGATTGCGCAATTCATTTTATAGACAAAGCAAACATACAAGAAAAGACTCGTCAAATGAATCAATCATAAGAAATGAGCATTAGTTGCAGCCCTTCACATATCCATCTCTTCATATAACTATCCAACCAGTCAAGCATTTATTCATCCTCATATGTCCAATTTTCACTTTATCCATCCTGTCACCACAGTGAGTCTAACCTACCGTTACATCTCTTAGTGCATTGTAAATTCATGTGTCCGTGTCTTAGGGAGCACTGTGAATGGGCAGGGCGGGTACGACCATCACAGCAACACTCACCAGGAAAACTTCAAGCCAGCAGGCGGAGGGAGGTACCCTCCTCATCTTCCCGACAACCAGGTACCCGCCGTTCAGCCGCCCAGACGTGAGAAAGAGTACAACTGGAAACTGACGGGTGCTACCGAGTGCAGCGCCTCCTGTGGTAAAGGTAGGGAAGCGCGGTTTGTGTTACGTGTTTATGTGTTAGGTTTTTAGTTGCAGACATCCACAGAGACTTATGATTGGAATCAGCCAAGTCTGGCCCTTCCAAAAATATTCAGTTATGCACTAAATAAACTGTACTAAAACAAACCACTAACATTTTATTTTATTACTACAAGGCCAATTCTCTGACCTTTCCCATATTTACTTATGGAGAAAGCCATGTCCTCTTGTGAGCACTATTATTGTCCTTGTTTCTTGGAGAATATTTGGAGATATTTCAGATGTAGTGTTCAGAGCTTAAATTAAATATCTGCTTTGTGTGCTTTTTAGGATTCAGATATTCTGTCTTTCAATGTGTCCACCGGCTGAACCACGTCCAGGTATCGGATGCTTTGTGTGACAGCAGCAGCAGGCCGAGTCCACAGGAAGAGGCCTGCAGCCTGCAGCCCTGCCCAGCATTGTGAGAGACCAGACTGTCTCAAGTTGACCTAACGGCATAAATACTACTGTTACTGATGACTAGACATTTTTGAAAATGGTGAAAAATTACACTATAGTTTGATTTATTTATTAAATCAGTATCCAGACATCTAAGCTGTCACTGGGAGGTGGTGAAGAATAGTGTATTCCTAAATAATATACAGTACATTTTAACATCATGATGGCACTCTCAACCCATTATCTCTCAAAATGCTTGTTTTACATGCAGAGCAAAAGAGCAAAAGCTTTACAGATGGAATTAAATCTTTTACACGTCATGCTCATAGAGAGTCAGAAAGCATCTGCAAATGAACACATCACAATATAAACAACAACAAAAAAAAAAAAACAGCATACCTAACACCAAGCCCCTGTGATTTCCTCCTGAGCAGCTGGGATATTGGAGAGTGGTCAGAATGCAGCAAGACCTGCGGCCTGGGCATGCAGCACCGGCAGGTCCTGTGTCGCCAGGTTTACGCCAACCGCACCCTCAATGTCCACACGAGCCGCTGCCGACACCTGGAGCGCCCGGAAACCGCCAGCACCTGCCAGCTGAAGATCTGCAGTGAGTGGCAGATCCGCTCCGAGTGGACCGCTGTGAGTGGCAGCTATCACAATGTGCCAACAACACAACACCTGTCTGACCCGTCTCTATAGATAACATAGAGCATCCTCCTCATGATTTAAGCTTTAACAAACAGATAAAAGTGCTGTGTGTGTTTAAAATCTTTATCCCTGATGTAAGTAACATGACTTTTCTTCTTGTTGGTATCGGTGATGCTCACATCCTGCATCTTTTTGTCTCTCTTTACATTGTGTCAGCATGTACTTAAAGTTTATGAAGGAAAACACAAACGGAGTTTAGTCCTTGTAGAGATAAAGGGTGTACTTATGAAAAAATTTAAAGAAGCCGCCCAGTCTTTCCAGCAGTGTGTTCCTCCATAGTACAGTATTAACCATGTGGCCCGTGTCTCCATAGTGCTCTGTGCCATGTGGGCTGGGTCAGAGGTCACGAGAGGTGCGCTGCGTCAGCAACGTGGGCGACTTTGTTCCTGATGAGGAGTGCAACATGAATCTGCGGCCTGTCGATGTAGAGAACTGTGACATGGGAGCATGTGCCAAGAGCTGGTTTTACACTGAGTGGGGCAATAGGGTAGGTGTTAAAAGTCAGTGGGAGACATAGTAACTTTTATTCATTTCTACTAACAGTGGGAGTCATTGTATAGGTCTGTCTTCATGAATCAAGCAGCTGTGCTTGATAACCAGACACTATAAAGATCATTTAATAAAGATTTTGACAGTTAGAAAAGCTTTGACAAAGCTTCAATAGTAACAAATGATGCTCCTTTCCCGCTGCTGACACTCCTTCTTTGGTGTTGCTCTCATCTATAATGGCTTACAAAGACAGTAACGATAGAGTAACTTTGACTAGACAAACAACTTGTAGGTTTTAAAGTATCAGAGCTGTAGTAAACAGGATTCAGGTAGAGATAAGTGGAATAACTAAATATAGAAGATGCGCGAGAGGTTTTTGCTGTTGACAGCTAACATCAGATGGCTGTGGAGACAGGAAAGCAGTTCAGAGTGGAATGACCAGTAGGTTACTGCAGGGAAGGAAGAACTAAGCAGATGTTAGGAGCAGGAAACAGACATGAAACACATCTTTGTGTCTTACAGTGGTGAAACCACTTAACTGTACAGCATTATCACAATACAGTACATTAGGACTCAAAAAGAGAAATGAAAAGCACTGATTTCACCAAATATGAACAACAAAGCCAGCTGAGATATGTGTTCAAAAAGGGAGCAAATGTCAGTCTTTGGAAAGTGAGTCTTACGTTTTGTCCACATAGTGTCAAACTCATATCATACATGCATGTTTTCTCTTCAAATCTGGTTATGACCTGTTGCACAAAAATAAAAGCTCCGTTGCTGATCGGAGAACAACGTGAACTGTAAAATGTGTGTTCGCTCCGCAGTGCTCTGCTGAATGTGGGATGGGTGTACGGACCAGGGGAGTCCTCTGCCTGACCAACCACATCAGTAGCCTTCCTCTGGAGGGGTGTGGCAGCGAGCGGCCGTCGGATTCTCAGGTCTGCAATAACGGACCCTGTGAGAATCGCATTGAGTGGTTCACAGGCCCCTGGAGCCAGGTATGAGGATGAGAGGAGGTCACGCTGGGTTTAAAGGGGGAGTTGTCTGGAGTCGCTAAATACATGGGATTTTACAGTGACTTTATATTGACATGTAGGGATTTTTGTTCCTGTCTCTATTTTGTGATGTTTAATTAAATCCATATGGTCTATGCTATTTTCGTATGTGACCCAGTGCTCTGCAGAGTGTGGCGCGGGCAGCCAGCAGAGGTCAGTGGTGTGTCTGATGAAGTCAGATGACGGTTTCACCGTCATGCCGCCATATGAGTGCTCCTCCTTGGAGCGGCCCCTCAGCCAGCAGAGCTGCAACCTGAAGGCCTGCGGAGAAAAGTGGTACCACACTGACTGGAGTGCTGTGAGTAAGACATGAGACCCTCTCTCCTCCCTTAAACAAGGCATGTACTCCTCACTCCCCTCTACTCTTAACAGGCTAATGGCCAGCAGTTGATAATCTGGGTAAATCCTGCTGAAGAAATCTGTCAAAATCCTCTGTAGATGTTTGCTGGTATACACTGAGCTTACAGACACAGACAGTGGTTCTGGTTAAGGTACACACAGAACCATCAGAGGTCTCCTTGATGATGTCACTTTCTACTGTGATTGCACCATGACATTACTTATCTCCATCGTCCTCACACTCCAGTGTGAGTAGTACTACTATCACAGGTAAAGGGTAAACATTGGTCCTTCATTTGCTTTTTACTAGTAATGTAATGCATGAATGACAGAATCTCCAGTCTTAAGTATTTAAGTAAAACATCAAAACACATGTCACTTAATTAGCAGCATACATATGCATGCATGCATACAAAACTCTGCTAATCTGTATCACCAGGACTGTCTGGGTTGATCAGATATGATGGACAGTGACCAGACAACCCATCAACTGTCATTAGATTTTAATTCAAATGTTTCTACGATTGGTGCCCTGAGGTACATGACATCACCTTTTGTCAACTGAGCCCCGCCCTCATCAAACCAGTGAATGGAGCACAAAGAAAAAAATACAAATACAGTAATCTGTCATGTGAAATAACCAACACCAGGCCCTGTTCTAGACTGCTTTGACCGCCACACTTCAAGACTTCAAGACTCATTACTCGTGTACTCTATGAGCGTCCTTTAGGACTGTAAGCTATAACATGCAGTGTTTTATGTTATCTAAAACTGAAGCCATAGAATCTGATAGTACATAAGCCCATAATGTATTTCATTTTAAACTGCTACATCCAGAAGGTGATTCTAAGTGATTGACAATAAACAATCACAAAAACCACAATCAGATCTAGAGATCAAGTGTCATGGATTGGCTAAAACTAAAACCAGAATATTCTCATCGGAGTGGAGTCACTGAGTGTGAGCACAGAGGACTGGTAACCAGAGTGTAAGCGTCTGAGTAGGGATGAAGTGAAATGATTGCGAAGCATCTGTTTTATATATATATATATATATATATATTTTATACAAATATATGTTATGTTTTTTGTTTGATAGACCTCGCTGCGTCACATTCATATCAATGAGAGTGAGTAGATATTACAAACTCTCAGTATAACACAATACAGCTCAACTGCACCACCAACTACAACCCCAAAAGTTAAATTAGCACATCTCCAAAACAGTTTAGACAAAATATTCACTAAGGTTATACCGTTGTATTAGATTAGCATTCGTTTTTCTCAGTGTAGCTAATAAACTGGTAAGTGAGAGTATGTTTTACATGTGATAAACAATCCAGGCCACATCCAAGTACAAGTACAACTCACATGTTGTCAGTGCAACACAGTTTTATTAAAGCACTTCATATCATGACAGAAGTTACTGTGTCTCAGGGGAGATGGGAGCAAAGGGGGGGGGGGGGGGGGGGGGGGGGGGGGGGGGGGGGGGGGGGGGTGGGGGGGGGGGGGGAGGGGGGGGGGGGGGGCGGGGGGGGGGGGGGTGGGGGGGGGGGGGGGGGGGCAGGGGGGGGGGGGGGGGGATGGGGGGGGGGGGGGGGGGGGGGGGGGGGGGGGGGGAGGGGGGGGGCGGGGGGGGGGGGGGGGGTGGGGGAGGGGGGGGAGGGGGGGGGGGGGTATAGACAGGGAGCTGGTTATCGGTTCCATTCAGGACATGGATTTTTTGAGGATTGCGGTCCTGGACATGCAGTAACCATCAAACTGCTCAGACAAGAGGCTGCTGCACTTCCTGTCCATACAGCTCTCTGAGTCTGCGAGCCTTCTTCTTCCTCTCCAGCTCATCCTCATCCTCATCCTGCTTCTTTCTGAGTCCAGACTTCAGTCTTTTCTGCAGCCAGTGCAGGGCCCTGGTGGATTCTGGTGTAGCTTGAGACTTGAGGCTCTTTCCTTCAGCCGTCCTGCAGCTGAGGGCGGAGTCGTCTGGGCGGAGCTCTTCCTCGCAGCGTGTCGTCTGCTCTCCAACCCAGTTGTTAATCAGAGTTTTTCTCTGACCCTGCTCCTGGCTCTTCATCGCAGAGGTCAGGCACTTTGAGCTGGTGTTGTCTTGCACACGGCACAGCTCAGCCTCCTCGCGCCTCCTCTGCTGCACCTTCTTCAGATCACTGATGGTGTATCTGGGTGTCGTGATGGGCTGCTCCTGCACCATCATGACCTCTCTCCACTGAAGCATCTCTGTCTTCAGTTGCTCCTGCTTTCCTTTCTCCAGGGCCTTTTGATTATCTTCCTTCCTCTTCTCCTCCTCTCTCTGTTTTTCCTCCTGCCTCCTCATCTCCTCTTCAACTCTTTCCTTCTGCCTTCTCACGCTTTCAGCTTCTTTATCTCTTTCCTCCTTTTCTCTCCTGCTCCTCTGAAGCTCCTCCAGAGCAACTTTTCTTCTTCTCTCCATCTCCATTTCTCTCAGCTCTTTAAAGCTCTCTCTCCTAAAATACGCCCTTCTCTCTTCAGGGGTCATTTTGCGAATGTTGTTGGCGATCTCCATCTCAGCGTGGAGTTCATGTCGTGGTCTTGCCATCTTGTTCGAGTTCACTTGTGCAGCTCGATCTGTGTGTGTGTGTGTGTTTTGCAGAGGTGTTTGGTGAAGTGAAGCCGGTAAGAAGAGTGGTGGAACCATGGAACAGTTCCATCAGTTATTACACAGATTCCTTGATTCCCTCACAGTTCTGCTTCTAGAATGATCCGTGTGTCTGTTGATCCTCAGTCAGGAAATGTGTAACATGCTTCAGCCACTGTAAAAGCACTTTTTAAAAGTCCTCCAATGATTTAGTATCAGTTCAATAAAGCTGTGGCTGAGATATACTGACTCTTAGTCCCTAGCATGGACTGCCCAACAGCCCAACACTGGATCCTACATTTCCCATAATACAACTCCCCACACCTATAGTGTCTAAGACAGACTTTGTAGTTGCTAAGCTGTCACTACTATTTTCTTAGACAAGTCAAAGCTCTTCCAGAGCCACAGAAATATAATACAACTTCCCACAGGCTGAGATGTATGCATCACTATAGTAACTTGACTTTGACATGTAAAATTGGTGAAATACACCTTTACAGACTCTTGCTTGTGATTTTAAATTGAGTTTGTGACCTAAAAATACAATACTTTTTTTTTTTTTTTAAATGTTTTTAATCATGCTTGGGCCATGGCCCTATTAAAGAAACAGCAATGTTGGTTGGATGGTCAGTCCACCAGTTGGACAAATATTTAATAGATTGCCATTAAATTATGTAAAGACATTCACAGTCCTATTAAAATTTGTCAGCAGTGGACCAGCTTTAGCGTGGAGCTTTATTAACCTGACTGCTGTCTCTGACCCCTGTCCTTGCAGTGTTCAAAAACATGCGAGGGAGGTTTCCGTGTGCGGGAGGTGCGCTGCCTCTCTGACGGCATGCTGTCCAGTGAGAGCTGTGACGGGCAACTGAAACCAGCAGAGAGGGAGGACTGCAACCCAGAGCCCTGCATACCCCTCATAGGTCAGTCCTCTCCTAACCTATCATCATTTGAATGAAAAGTTGTCAGCTGGGAATCCCCTGGCATGAGGAGCGCATCAGTAGGTGTTATGTCCCCTTTCTAATAGCCTGAACTGGAAATTGTACCTTGAGCAAGGCATTGAACACCAAACTCTGTCCAACAGTTGAAGCCCAAGCAGCACTCTGAGAGCTTTGAATGCTGAGACCTCTACCATTCCCCTGCAACATTTACAGAGGCTCTGTTGCCATATGTTCCCTTGCTTAATAATCCTCATACAGTATTTGCTAGAAATTAAGAAAATGAATTTAAGATTTATTTCTGTTTTAGATGAGAACTGCAGGGACAAGTATTTCAACTGCAACGTGGTGGTCCAGGCTCGCCTCTGCGTGTATGATTACTACAAGACGACGTGCTGCGCTTCGTGCTCACGAGTGTCCCACAGACAGTCGATCCACCGAGGCCACAGCTAGCACTTTGTACCAGGGTCTCTCAGCTCCGTGTCGGGCCAGACTCAGTACCCGCTGCAGGCACTCTGGTCCTGTGCCAGCCAGGGGAGTGGACTGGCTGGACCTAGCCTAAAATGGACGTTTTTTTTTTTTTTTTTTTGCCAAGGATGGAAACTGAAGAAGGAACTTTTCTGCTGGCTTATTCAGAGACAGCTGTTGGGAGAAAGGCATACCTAAGAATAGTGGAGGACAGGAATCCAGTGACTGGATAAACAGAGCCCTGATAGGGTGAGAGAGATCAGCAGCAAACTGAAGAACCCACAAAACACTTTATGGATTATAACCACAACTTTTAATAATTGTTTTTTATTTCATGGGAAACAGTTTGCAGCTGTCTTTTACCGAAAATGGCTCTTGAAGTGGATTACCGATGAAGAGGAGAGCACCTGTAAACTGTTTAGCGTGGACTATGTATAGACTGTATTATGCTCTAATATGGCTCTTTACTCAATGCTCAGATTTTTGGCACAATGTCATATGAAGTAGGTCCTGTCTCACCTATAATCAGCTATTTAACGCCCACTTTGTTGACCAAAGATATATAACCTCATTAAACTGAAGACAGTGACAGATTAACACCTTTTTCCTAAGAAACAAATAGTGTGTCATCAAAACCCTCCATGGTGCTGTTGGTGTATCCTTTACATGGAATGGATTCACACGGAAAATAGCAGAATTTGAATTCCTCGTGGCCCAGATTAGGTCCTTTTTTTCCTTCCTGCACAGCCATGAGGTGTAAATGCAGCCTTTGTAATATGTTTGTATATATGTATGTATGACAAAGTGAATGATAAGGGTTTTCTTTTTAAGGGTTCTCAGACAGTCCTCCCAGCCACTGAAGAAAAAAAGCCCTCTTTATTTATTTGCGTGGCTCCCCAGGGAGGACACTGGTTTATCGACCACCGGTGGCCCCTTTTTGGCTGCAGGGATGAAACCTTTGTTGCCTCTCTCCACCAATCACAGCCTCTGAACTGAATGTAGGCATTCCACAGCCTGTTGGATGGTAGAAACAGATGGTCAGAATCTATAATCTATTTATGGAGAGATCCTCTCCATAAATACATTATAGATACCCTTATATATATATTATGTGGGATATGATCATTCCGCAATTGTACAATTCCTGATGAATCACCAATCATAACTACATAGAATTATCCATAACATATGATTAATATTTGATTGCAAAGATAAATGATGGCAGTATTTTACAACTATTGACCTGGTATGGTAAATATGAGGTTTACATTAATAGTAAGTCCTTGATTCTTGATTCTTCCATAACACTTCTTCTTTTTGAGTTCCATCCAAAACCTGCACACAGTACCTCTCATACATTCAACTTTTATTGTATTATAGCCGTTATCAGTTCCCTCCAAGCAATATAAACTTACCTCTGATCCATAAGTACTGTATATGTATCAATGTCTAAGTTCTGGTTGAATCTAGTATGCAGTTAATTCCGTCTCTAAGGGACACTACCATTCTGAATGTACCAACTCGATGGCACGACTCTTGATTTTCCTAAAAAAAAAATCAAGAAGAGTGGAACAAAAATACCAGAATCTTTCAGTACTCACAATACGACTGCAACAAATAAAGCATCTGTATTTGCCTTATTTTAGATTTCAAATGTTCAGCAGTTGATTCTCATGTAGTGTTCTTGAGATTTTCTGAAATAAAGAAATTTACTAATTATTTGTACACTTTACAGCAAATTTTCCTTGTGTGATTTCTAAATTGATTCAGTTTCACATCACAGAGGAAGAGGAGGCAATATATTTGATTTAAGTCATCCATCTGGAGGACACAGGCGGTATTACAACAAATTTACAGCAGAGAATCCATTTCCTGTAATAATATATTGATTGATTTGATTTATCTTGCTGCTTCATCTTCTGAGGAACTGTATTTTTTTCCATGTTGTCTGGTTCACAGACTTTTTGTGGTCCAATCTCATACTTTGTATAACTTCTATGAGAACATGTCTCCCATACTGAGGATATTGTAGATGCTAAAACATGGGAATATATTTGAAAATATGTGTATATCAGTGTTTATAAAGAGGGACATAAATGAGTAAGATGTATTTTAAAATATAAGACATTTCTTTTGCCAGGAGGCACAGGAATGATTTGTCCAGTTTGTCCCTGTAAGTCCTCATCTGTCTGAGAAATGTCACTCAGAGTTTCTAAGTGCTGGGCTCAAGGTTTTTGCAGAGTCAGCCATATTCACTGTCACTGCAATGTCATCTTCAATGCAAACCTGTACACAGTAGTGATAGAGCGGTCAGTCAAACACAAACGTTCAAAGACAATTCAATCATGTGCACATATGCTGAATACAGATAATTCAGTGTCAGGTATTTCTTGACTCATTATCAGTACTTCGTTGTCATTTCTACAAGCCCTCCGGTGAATTCACCCCCTGAAAAAACGTACAGACAAAACAGTGGCAGCAGTCTGAAGCGAGCCAGCACTCGGCTGATGAAGCAGCTCCGGGTGGAGTTGGCCAGAGGGCCTGGCCCGACAAGGGGGTCGATGAAGTATATGTCGGGCTCCACCGTGAGGACCGTCCTCTCCTGTACCAGGCGGCCCATCCGAAGACTCCTCAGTCCAGGGTCATTGATTCCACTCTCTGGACAACAGTGCAGACTTTGTACTAAGGTGCTTTTGTTTTTATAGATGTGTTCAAGTTCAGTTCAAATCAGTTCTTCAAAAAGTGACAAATTTCACAGTTTCTCTTGCTTCTTAAATTAAAGAATTTACTTCAGGTCAAATAACTATAAATAAGAAGTGCATAAACAAGAAATATCCTCCACAACCTGAAACTGTTTGTGTTCAGACAACATGTGACCATCCTCTCTCTCCTGCCCTCATCCTGAACTTGTTCCTGCAGCTTGGCCTCTTTTTGTTCCACTCTCACTTCTGCACCGAGAGCCTCTCTATTATTGATGACACATCAATACTGGAGGAACTGGAAGTGTTCGTTCTTCTTCTTCTGTCTACTGGATGGTTGTGATGCGAGCAACCTCAGAGTTGAAGTCTTCTGCTCTCACCTAAGGGTAGCCTCCCACATCGTGCACGTCGATGCCCAGCAGGTGTCCCAGGCTGTGGGGCATGAAGATGGAGCCCATGTGGACCTTCATCATAGATAGATAGATAGATAGATAGATAGATAGATAATTTACCTATCCCCATGGGAAATTCATGTGACCATTAGCTCATTGTTGATGATAATAATAACAGTTGATAATAAATAAACAATAATAATTAGATTAGTCCACTTCCTTTGGCTGAGGTGTTGTATAGCCTGATGACAGTGGGAACAAAGGATCTCCTGAACCTCTCTGTTCTGCGGTGCAGTTTGCTGCAGCTGTAGCTGCTTCTCTGTCCTGCCAGAATGTTGTGGAGGGGATGGCTGGTACCATGGCTCCTCCAGGTGAACCCGATCAGCCAGGCGGTGCATGTAACTCCATTTCACACCTTCAACACAAACAGCTATGTTAATGAAAAACAGAAAATTCTTTGACCTGAATTTTAAGTGTGCCAAACAAACTTACAAATAACTTCATATATGCATTAATATAGCAGCACATTGTCTACAATATAATCAAGCAGAAAAATAGCTTCCAATATCAAATTTGTAAATTTTGCAGATAGCTGATGAAATGAATCTGGTGACAGAGAATCACTGCCTGCATCTTCAGTCTGTTCAGAAAATTAATGATGAAGGAAAATGAAATGAAAATTCAATTTGAATAACAGACTGAATTTGATGGATTTCCATTACATGTCACAACACATCCAACAATTTAGTGACTGAAGTAGTTATGTTGGTATTTTTTAGTTTGAAATCCTTTCAATGAAACCAGGTTCACATTTTAGTTAGAAGTGCAGTGTAGTTTACAAAAAATATATAATTTGCAGGAGCCCAACTGTGTGAAAAACAACCAATGTTTACTCCTTCTGAAAATGTTGGAACCTTTAATTATTTAAGGGCTCTTCAAAAGGTAAAACACTGTTAAAAATCAAAGCTCATCATTATGGTCATCATCACAGATTGATTTCACAACAACCAAACATGCAGTGTGCTTTTCACCTCACAGAAAAAAAAAACCACTTTACCCTTCACATGTCAGTAATCCAAGCCTATCCAAGCCTGTTCAAGTTCAATCAAGTTAAACCTAGCCTGGTTTGAGGTCAGCCATGGCAGTGCGGGAGGACTTCAGGAGGGCCTTGTAGATGACCCCCTGGTTTGGAGTGAACATTGGCTGGGAAGGAGCAGGTGATGTCTCAACAACAACTCACAAACATTAATACAAAGCACCAAAAACCAGGTCTAGCCAGTGTCATCCAGCTACAGAACCACAACACCTGCAGTTACACATCTGCGGTTCTAGTCTGACCTCTGCCACCTGCAGTAAGGAGAAGTTACAGTGGCAGCAGCTGAACTCTACAGGAGTTTGCTGTCTACAGGTAGGAAAGAAATAACTACTGCAATTTGCTCTGTGCAGATACAGAATGTTCCGGTTCAGATTTTTTTCCTTTTTCATAGCTGTTGTCTATGTTTACAATTTATCTTTGGGTTTTTTATGTAGTCAGTAATTATTTAATGACTTTATTTACAAGGTCTTCAAAGGATAATATTTGAATATAGAACTTTATTTCTATTTGAGTACTGAATATCTACAGCAGACACACTGATGCTCCATTCCTGTTATTTTGGTTAAAAATGATACAGGCAGTATCCGTAGAGCTAAATATAAAACTGCAAATTTAACAGTGCTGCACACCGCTTTGCCATGTTGCAGGTTGGCATGTGAACAATTGATCTGACAGTAACCCAACAACTCAACTTTCTGGAAATGCTGAATGAATGAATTGTTGAGTTTATGAGTTACAAGTTAATGGCCACATCTGAAAAACTGCTGACATGTCAAAACTACTAAAAGCTGCTCACCACATCTCCCCTTGTAATTCTCTTGTCACTGGGAGCCCTAGCATGGCCGCAGAA